GAGACCCAACAACAAGCAGCGATGTGTTAATGCGTCTACGATAGGAAGGCCTGGGACCAAACCTCACTCATATAACACCATCTGTGAGGGAATTACTATACCACATGTCCCTCATAACACCATGTGTGAGGGAATTACTGCACCACGTCAAGTCCCTCATCACACCAGCAGTGAGGGAATTACTACACCACGTGAGGTCACTCATAACACCATCTGTGAGGGAGTTACTACACCACGTGAGGCCCCTCATAACACCATCTGTGAGGGAGTTACTACACCACGTGATGTCCCTCATAACACCATCTGTGAGGTACTACTACACCACGTGAGGTCCTCATAACACCATCTGTGAGGTAATTACTACACCACGAGGTCCCTCATAACACCATCAGTGAGGGAATTATGACACCACGGAGGCCCCTCATAACACCCATCTGTGAGGTAATTATTACACTACGTGAGGTCCCCATAACACCATCAGTGAGGGAATTATTGCCACCACGTGAGGCCCCCCCATAACAATTCATCTGCGAGGGAATTACTACACCACGTCAGGTCCCTCATAACACCATCTGTGAGGGAACTACTACACCACGTCAGGTCCCTCCTAACACCATCTTGGAGGGAGTTACTACACTACGTGTTTGTTGTTCAACACCTACAATAATCTGTATGTTCACTGTATGTTCCTTTACTTTTCTCTAATGAAGGCTTTTGTTAAACCACCAATGTATGTAATAAGTCATTTATGTCCAATGTATATTTTCAGCCTTCGGGCTGCAGAACTTTTTCAATAAACCGTCAATTATTATTATTATTATTATTATTTACATACATACATACATACATACATACATACATACATACATACATACATACATACATACATACATACATACATACATACATACATACATACATACATACATTTATTCAGTAAAAATCGTCATACAAGTTTCCAGTGATTCAGCATTCATACAGACAATGCAAATAGACATATGCAGTTCAGGTATACAATATACATAGACAGTGTAGGTATACAAACAATGTTAAACAGTAAGTCGATTTAATCCCAAGACCAGCAGACAAAGTCCTCACCATACGTTTGTTTCAACCTACTTAGTGTAAACCTCTTAAGTCTTCCGTAACTAACTCTTATATTAACTCTTTATTACCTAAGTGTTTTAT